TTACAGATTTGATCTGAGTTGTTGGGGTTTTTTAAAATATGGTTTTATAGATTTTTAGGAGAGCGAGAGGGGGAGAGAGAAAAACATTAATGTGACCAAGAAACATCGATTGGCTGCTTCCTACATGCACCCTAACTGGAGATAAGAGTCTTAACTTGGGCACGTGCCCTGACTGGGAATTGAACCAGCAGCCTCTTGGTGCACAGGACGACACTCAACCAACTGAGCCACACAGGCCAGGATTAATCTAAGAAAGTTTTATGTCTTCTACTGACTGCTTAGAATTGTGTAACTGTTGGGTAAAATTTGAGGTCTTCCATATCAAGGATGAACACACAGGTTTGTTCCATTATTAAGATATTAAAAGAAACCTTACCTTAAGGATACTACTTAACTATATATATTAATTATACATAATTTGAGAGCCATTATTCAATGGGACTCACAAACCAAAAAAGTTTCAGACCTACTACATGGTGGAAATAATCTGCTGCATTTAATAGTGAGTACATGGAAAACAGGGAACTGTGTCTTATTTAATATGAAGAGCCACTGCCTAACAAAGTACCTATTTAATGACTCAATCAGCAAAGAGTAATAAGCAGTATTAAATCAATACACAGACAAAGTACTGATGAAAATTAAGATGTACTAAGGGAATATACAATCTGAGAGTTATAGACTGCTCATCTACTAAAATTAATAAACTGTTTTTAGGGCAGATAAAGAAAGTCAAAAACACTAAGCCACAAGGAAACAATAATTTGTAGAATTTGAAATTTTTTTACGAACCTTCCCTGCTGTCTGCCGATCGCTCTTAAAAATTACAGTCTCCTCATTAACTGGAGGTAGTTTAGGCATAGATTCAATTATTACTGAAAAATAAAACGAAACAGATTATTTTAAGATTTAATCAGGAGGTAATATAGAATTTAAATGAGAATTTAGGCTTTAATTTGAAATTTAAGGTGAAATAATATGCCACAGTAACTATGCCTCATGGATAAACAAATTCTATTTATTAAACATAGCACAGTGAAATAGGTTCTACAAATTTTTACTTCATACAAAAAGCTAAACTTCTAAGAAAGAAAATTAAAGTATAAAATCTCACAGAAAATTTGACTCACCCTTTAAAATCAACAAATTCAAGCCATGTACATTTTCTCAAGCAATTTTTAGCCCAAAAATGTATAATTTAGTCACAAAACTCCTGTTTTAGAAAAAATTAGTTTTCTTTCTCACTCTAGACATTCTTTTCTATGAGCATTGATTACTTACTGCTATATGAAAAAGTTAACCACAGAAGTATCTTCCTCTGAACAGATGAAGAATGAGAGAGCACACAGCAATTTTTATCACTTTTTCTCAAGAAGCAAAAGCATTATTCCACTAGTCTAGCATACCCCAATTCTTTTTAAGTGCCACAAATGTTAAACAATCTATTACAGCAAAAGGGGGGTGGAGGGACGATAGGTTCTTAGAAAATTAGAGCAACAAGCAAGACTACTGTGTCACATTATATAGATATGTCATCTCTACTTAGAAAAAACAAATTAGTTCAGATTGTGAAGATTCATTCAAAAAATTTCAGCTAATTTTTTTTCCTAAACACCAACTTTATTGTAGAGGGTTCCCACCTGGGATCCCACCTTCTTAAATAAAAAAGTGCACAGAAAAAAAGGGCATTTAGAAACCTTTGTATAATATCTACATCTCGGGCCCCCAAGGCAGGAAGGGGGAAATTGCTAGGTGGACTACAGGGGTGGGAGCAGGGCCTTTGTATCTGTAAGCCCACATCCACCCTAAATATGAGGGTGGGGGCAAAATGATCTTGGAGGGACTAGGGAGACCCCAAACCAGAGGCAAAATGGCAATGGGGATGGGAGTGTCGGGGGCAGCAACTAGTGCTTCTAAATTCTGAATGTACATATAAGCAACCAAGCATGAGTCAACATTCTTTGAGTTAGATCTGCTTCTGGAATAAAGATAAGGATAGTGAGCACTAACAGAATTCATTCTCAATCATCTCCTACAATCTCCTACGTACATCAAGTCTAATAAATGTTCAATTCATATGATATAATCAAGTAATTACCCGTTTCACTTATTTATGCATATTATTAAATACCATAATGAAAGAAGTTAGCTTGAAATGCAGGCAGATATGGTAGGGGTCCAGTGGAAAACAAAGGCAATAGGGGCAGACATGGCAGTGTGAGCAAGCCTAATCACAGAAACCAACCTAGCAGAAATAATAAAATGTTTCTGGACTCAAAGCAGGAGGCATGGGAAAACAAGGGAGAGCCTGCAGTCACAAGGTGTACAAAGGCATAGAAAAAGAGAAAGTTCAACATAGGAACAGAGGACAGAGAAAGAACACATAGGAACAGGGAAAGATCAGGTCTGCTACTGGGCAAAAACAATTGAGGGAATCGATCAATTGATGACACAGATAGGCTTGTAGCAAATATATACCCCTGGACTACAAGGCTTTAAGGGGCATCCCATTACTAGGTCCTTCTCCCCTTGCAGGGAGTCTGACTCTGCTTGTAATAATTTTCCACACTTTTGCTTAAATCTTCTGGTCCATTCTTTCGAGTCACAAGACATGACCCCAGGGGAAAATCCTTGGCTCATTGTTCCAGTTATCAATAAGATGACTCAAAAACTAATGTAATAACTTGAGAATTATGTACAGAGTTTTAATAACTATACTTTTTATTAAAAATGTTCCACTTTAACCTAAATTTTAATAAATTACAAAAGTAGAGATTTATCTAAATTTATATTAATTTTTTAAAAAAACACTGATATGTATATTATTAGAAAAAGGTCAAAAGATAAAAGTCTAATTTCTACCAATGACTCATTATACAACTGATCATAAATGCAAGTGAAACATTTTTCTGGGCCCCTTAAGTCCTAAAAACTAAGGGAGCTGGTGTATGATCTACTTTTTTTTCCCAGTTCAAAAATCCTATGGCTGTCAACGCTGAGTTTATTCTCAAATGTATCTCACAATGAGAGTTAATGGTAGCTATGTTAATTTCAAGGCCCTTTGATACCTATCTCTTGGAGCTAAAAGGAAATCCTTAATGTCTAGTTGTCTCATATCCAACCGTTTCATATTTTGTGCCATTCATATCAGTATTACATCACAGACATTCCTAATTTACATGTTTATATCATAAAATTTAAGACAGTAAGCAGAATAATGCCCTCTCCACAAAAAAAGATAACCACATCCTAATCCCTAAACCTGTGAGTGTTACCTTTCATTAAAAAATAAATAAATAAGGTTTTTTTCATTGCAGTTGTGATTAGTGTTAAGAACCTTGAGCCGAAACCGGTTTGGCTCAGTGGATAGAGGGTGGGCCTGCGGACTGAAAGGTCCCAGGTTCAATTCCGGTCAAGGGCATGTACCTGGGTTGCGGGCACATCCCCTGTGGGAGATGTGCAGGAGGAAGCTGATCGATGATTCTCTCTCATGGATGTTTCTAACTATCTATTTCCCTTCCTCTCTTTGAAAAATCAATAAAATATATTTTAAAAAAAAGAACCTTGAGATGGAGCAATTACCCTAGAATACACATGAAGGACTAAGGAGTCTGTAAAAGCAGAGAAGCTTTCCAGGCTCTGTTCAGAGAGAAGTTACATTATTGGTTTTGAGGGTGAAAAAAGGGAGTCTGGAACCAAGAAGTGCAGGCAGCTGTTAGAAGTTGAATGGAGAAAGGAAACGAATTCTCCCCTAGAGCCTCTACAAAAAAAAATGTAAGTCCTGATGGGCCCCTTGATTTTAACTCAGTAAGATCCATGACAGATTTCTGGCCCAAAGAACTGCAAAATAATAACTTTGTATTATTTTAAGCCACTAAATTTGTAGTAACTTAATAGCAATAGAAAACGAATATTGCACATCAAAGAAAATTCTGGAGAAACATGTCAGTAAAAGCAGACTTTAAATTTTTATAAAGAAAATATATTTATGAATTACATAAGTAAAATTAAATTTATCTGTTCAAAATTCACTAGTCATAAAATCTCTGATTTGATTATTAATGCATTACTTAATATATCATTTTTATTAATAAAATTATTTACATACCTAATTGTTCAATAATACTTGAAACCATCCCAAGAGGCTTTAATTCAATATCTTCAGGCAAAATAATAGTTAGTTCTTCAACTGAAGGTAGTTCCTATTATATAAAAAAAAACACATTAATCTTCCTCCAGCTTCAACAACTTAAAAAAAAAATTAGCTTTCATTTAAATACTATTCACATTTATGAAGATGCAACATTAAGTACTTATACCATCCCCTTGATGTAATCCATTTTAGTGTCTAACATCATTTCTCCTACCTCCATCTCCCCATTTAAGTGGCATACTATGTCGTGCCCACTCCGTAACCCAGATAGACTGAGAATATAGACAGAAGTACCATTTGAGATTTTCCCAATCACACTTGAACAAGAGACCAATAAAAAAGAAAAAGTTATTGTTAAGAAATCCAAGGTTAAAAAAAGAGACAATTCACATAATTCCCAGAGACATTCCATTGAGGGGAAAAACAAACAAACAGTTCCACTGGTCACTCACTAGTTTCTCCACAGAGCAAGAGTTCTCTCTCTTAGCTGCCTTGATTTGATTAATCAATTAAATTTACTGTGATTAAGTTGTCCTTTCTACGGCTTTGTGAAAGAAGAGTTAAGTGTCTGGCCTCTTTAGGAAAAAATACAGAATTCCTGGAAACTGAATGTAGGCATCAGCCCAGGGAAAAGTGTTGAGAGTGTTGCCTGTTTTCTTCCCTCCCTAGGTTAAAAACCAAATTTTTAACATCCGAAGATTTCTTTTTTCTGATCCAGCACCTAATTCAGTTGCTATAGAAACTAGACATTGAAGTAGAGATGAAATTGAAGAAAAATCTAAGACTGAAACGGGCCGTAGCCTTTAAATTAAATAAACATAGCTTTCTTTCTATTCTTGACCTTTGCTGAAAGATCACAACTAATGGCATGTTAGGAGTTAGTTTGGGAGGAGAAAGATAACTTCTGGATAAATGTTGAAAAAGGTTGAAAACCCTAAATAATACAGTGTTATTACAGATGAATGCATCATGGGTAATGAATTTCCTCTACAGGGACTCAAAGTTTTTAACAAAACTACTTACCCAGTATCAAAGTATAACTTGCTTCAGGGAGGTGCTATTTTCTGATCAAGGATTACTTATAAAGAGCCTCACTAAAGGTCTTAAACACATTGCATACCGCATAAAAATCTCTAAGACATACGCCAAGTACCCTACGTTTTTGGGCAAACTGCATGTTATTTAAATCATCGTAATGCACTTTAGGTGTTGTTTTTCAATAATTATAACATTTTTATTTACAAAAACAATTAAACAATTAAAGTTCCTAGTACTTTAATGCACGGTACTGCGTGAAACATTTTCCTCTATGAAGAGGGACCAAACAAAATTTACATAAGTATCTAGATTCGCTCCTTTTCCCATGGGCGTGAAAAACGAGAACACTCGTGAGCGGTTCTTAACAGATGGCGCGCAAACAGGAGCAAACTCCTGAGCGATACGAAATGTGTTAAGCAATGCAAAGCAGAAGACTTACCTCTGCATGGCTGTGGAAGGAATGATTGTGCTTTACATAGCAGAACTTTTCTGTACTTTTAGGAGGACAACCACTTGTCATTTTATCATATTAATTACAGAGAGTCTTTTCTTGGCAAGACCATTACTTGAAAGTGGTCCATGTGTTTATCAGAATAGTGAAGAGAGTTCAGTTGTCAGAACCAGTAAAGGACATGTGATTTAAATAGCCTTGTTTATGAAGTTCTTAGCTAAAGAAACCCCACACCCTGTGAAATATGAGTGGAAAACTATAATGTCAAAAGACTGCAGAAAGCAGGGCTTTAATGATATTTTAGAGGGAAAACTGTCATACAGATCCCACACCAATTCTGGTTCAGGGAGTGGCACCTCTTACAATTGGCCCATGTTATTTTTAACACAGAAGTATTGTGATGAAATCTACCCTGTTGCCCACCTAAATTACAGGAAGATCTAGAGGAAAAACTGTCATTACTTTTGGACTATGATAGAACCTACTAGATAAATAAAATCAGGAGAGTGCTGGTAGAAGAAAGGGTAGGGAAATCTCTGAGAGAAGTGCTGTTAGATCTTTAATAAAATATCTGAACTCGATAGAAGTACAGACGACATGCCATTAACACTTCAGAGACAAAAATCAATGCTATTCTCAAATACTAAATAAATGTTATTTGTCCACAAAATGAAAGGTTCCTCATTCTGTATTTTCTATTAGGAGGAATAAAATCCCATGCAATGTAATTATGTTTTGATACAAATCTAAACTTGATACTGTTTTTGGCTTTTAAAAACTTTAAAGCATAAAACTGATACAAGTATCTGGGTTTTTTTAAAAAAGGAAACAAGTAGTAAAAAAGAGTGCAAAGTAAAAAGAAAAAATTCCCCTAATCTATTCCTTTCAACCTCGCAATTCCTCTCCATAGATTGCTATTGTTAAAGTCTTTCCAATATATTTACTATGCAGATATAAACTTCACATTACTAACTTTAAAATGTATCACTTAAATAAAATAGACATCGTGACATAAGCTATCCTTTTCACCTATTACATCTTACACATCCTTCTACACCAAAACATAAATATCTATCTAATTTTATTTAAACATTCTTATGGTATTTCACTATATAGATATACCATAATTTAGTATACCTGTCACCTAATGAAACACCTGCCTTCTTCAAATTTTTACCATTACACACAATGAAACAATATTTATTCTTTCACATGTATTTCTAAATAAGCGCTATGATAAATTCTCCTAAGTGTAGTAACTGCTAAATCCAAAGACATGAGCATTTTTAATTTTGACAGGTTCATTCCAAAAAGGTTACATCAATTCACACTTCCACAAATTATATATACGAGATTTTCCTACATTCTTGCCATCATTAATAAGCCATCACTAATAAGCAAATATTTTCCAGTCTAATGGGTCTAAAACAGTATCTTGTTTTAATTGGAATTTCTTCATTAATCAAGAAAACTGAATATTTTTGCATGTTTTCTGGTTATTTTTATGTATTTATGAATTGTTTGTATATTTTACATGGTTGTCTTATCTTTTTATTAATTTATAAGATAACTAAGTTTTTAAGAATGTCTGCCCTTTATACAAATACTAGAGACCTGGTGCACAGATTTGTGCACCAGTGGGGTCCCTTGGCCTGGCTTGTGGGGACTGGGCTGAAAACGGCTCTCTGACGTCCCCCGAGGGGTCCTGGATTGCTAGAGGGTGGTTCTCGGGTGATGCACCCTGGAATCGGGCTCCCTCTCTCTGGTTCCAGGTATGTCACCTGAGAACTGCAGCTGCCAAGTTATTGCAGCTCGGCAGCTCCTGTGTTGAGCATCTGGCCCTGATGGTCACTGCACGTCACAGCTACTAGTCGGACGGTCATTTAGGCTTTTATATATATAATAAATGTAGCAAATACCCACTCACTCACCTCCCAGCATATTCTTTAACATTTGTTGTGTAATGAACTTTAGTTATTTTAATTTTTATGTAGCAAATATATCAATCTGTTCTTAGTTTTTTAAGACTTGTGTAAGTTACATTTAGAAAGACCTGCCCTTGATGAAATTAACTTTTAAAATTCACTCATGTTTTCATTGCTCTTCTAGTTTCATTTTTAATATTTGCATATTTGGTCCATTTGTGATTTTATTCTTATATAAAAGCAAGGCAAAGATTGGATTTATTTTCATCCAAATTATTAGCCAGTTATCTCCACACACTGAAGAATAATCCATTCATCTCTTTTCCCTACTGATCAGAAAAACAAATTTTAACATATACTAAATGTACTTATACATTTCAGGTTTTGTTGAAGTCTCCATTTGGTTCTACTGATCTATTTCAGTGTCAGTACTAAACTATTCTAATAACTGTGCCTTTCATATTATGTTTTAATATTTGGGAATAAGGGCTAGTTTCCCTGTCCACCCTGACAGCAATATATTTCCCCTTGGAATTTTTCTAGCTATTTGCACATATTTACTTCACTAAACTTTAAAACCAGTTTGTTATATTAGTGTTGTTAGTATGAATTAAAATATTTAATTGCAGTTGTCTTCCTACAGGACCTACATAGTCATTAGGCTTATTCAAAGCCATTTTGTACCTTATTTGCTATTATAAGTTAATAGGTATTTAATGTTTTTTACTGCTATTATAAATGGATTCTTTATAGAGTACTATTTAAGCACCAGAAAACGTCATGCTGAAATTTGTGTCTAGGGATTTTCTTATGTATTCACTATGTTACATATTTTAAAAATATAAGTACTCCTTCTTTCCAGTATTAGTACATCATATTTTTCACTTTTCAGCATTGGTTGGTATTTCCAGAATGTCAAGTACCAAGCAACTGTGATGTGTCCAATTCTTTATTAGGAACTTTTCAAATAGTTAGCAAAAAGATACATTTTTATTGGAATTTCTTTCTAATAAGATTAAGAAAGTATCCATCTATTCCTATTTTACCAAGTTTTATTTTTTAAATCAGAAATGAGTATTGATGTTTATCAAATGCTTTTTTATAATCTTTTGAGATCATTATAATTTACTCTGAGTTAAGCAGGTCAGTCTATATCAGGGGTGGGCAAACTTTTTGACTCGAGGGCCACAATGGGTTCTTGAACTGGACCGGAGGGCCGGAACAAAAGCATGGATGGAGTGTTTGTGTGAACTAATATAAATTCAAAGTAAACATCATTACATAAAAGGGTACGGTCTTTTTCTCTTTTAGTTTTATTCATTTCAAACGGGTCGTAGTTTGCCCACAGCTGGTCTATATAGTCTGATGAAGTCTCTGCTCTAAGAATGTTTATGAAACATCCAGCATGAGGAATACAAGGGAAAATGCACAAAGCCAGAATATTTGTAGTGTGTAAGGACTGATACTTATGGTCAAAAACAAACTGGCAGGCCCCCTTAATTCCTGTTGCTACCCTATTTTGACCGATGTATGAACAGAAATAAAAGTTTTGCCCACAAACGGGCAAGATCTCTGATTTCATATAGAACCAAACTTAGGGGAGAAAACATTGGCACTGTGATCTGTGATCACCAC